TATTACATGAGGGATTTTAGCTACATACATAAGTTGAATGAGTGAATGTGATTGGTCAGACATGTACAAGAGTTAAAGTGGTGGGCCGACCAGTTGAAAGAGTGATTCTGATTGGTCAGGTTGTGTGGTGTTTACAAGTGAGTGTGGTGGTACCACCTGCAGCTGTCATGCAAGGAAAATATACTAATTTAGACTGCATGCATGAGTTATGTAATATGTATAAGTGAAATGTAAGGAGTGTATATGTATGTATGTGAGATTGTACTGTACTGAGGGTGTCTGTAGCTTGAGGGTTGTAATTGGGATTGGTGATGTGTAGTGATGAGTGAAATCCTTGTGATATGTTGTCCATTGTTGGGTAAGAGTTGATCCAGGTGTGTTCCAGTGACGCCTCCAAGGTGACCAAGGGTGAATTTGTCCGTAGAGTCCAGTTCTTGAGCCGTATGGTGTGATTTCTGAGAGAAATTAGGTGATAATATGAAGAAAATATATATATAAGAAAAGAAAAGAAAAAAGTTTGAATTTTCACATTTTTGACTACCACACCGGCCCCTTGGGAATTGACTTGTCAAACAAGCACGGAGGGTAAGTCATGTCTCAACTCATGGATAGATTTTAATCCACCTTTGACCCTGCTGAAACCGCCCAACCCTCAGGAATAACCGCGATGGCAAGCCATCACCACCCGGGTGCAACTTGGAACCCTGACGGAGCCAATGCATGGGAAAATCTTCAGGAAGATTTCCAACCTGACCTCGCTGCAATCCCCAACCACACAAGTACACAGCCCCGCACATTCTCAAACCATACCGGACCTGGCACTCAAATCATCCCACGCAACTTGTCAAACCCTTCCAACTATCAAACTGGCCCCGGCGTTCCGCACCTTGGCGGCATTCCTGCCACAGGGGCAGGGGTTATTTCTCCATACTCGACTCATTTTAACACATCACCAAGCCCCCTTGGGGAAAATGGAACCGAGGCCGGTCCTCAGTTCAACACTTCTAACCCCAATCACAATCTCCCTGGCACCCCAGGTGTTCAAGCCTGAAACCACGGAGCACAACCCACCCAAGGCTTGGATCTTTCAACCCCCCATCTGTTTTGACCTCTGGAAGCCATCGGACCCAACCAAGTAAGTCTTTCCCCTTCAAATGATCCCAGTCCACACAGACCTATGAAGCTGATGAGGCTGCAGGCCCCACCCAACACCCGGGTCCAATGGGAGGCAGGGAAGCAGGGGGGATTGGCCCAATACGCACTCCATCCCACACCAGTCTCCCCAATCTTTCCCCCTATAGACATGAAGACCGGTAATCTGCTTCTGACTCCGTCAGCAGTTTCAGTCAACACTCAAGCTCATCCAACTCAACCACCTCAATCCGGCCAGAAACCCTGACTTACCATCTCCTGCAAGAGAAACTTGACAATCATGAGGAGTTTGCTCGCATCGGACAACCCCTCTTCAGTGTAAGCACTCCCTCCTACCCCAAAGAATCAGGTCACCAACCACTGCCTTTCATAGATTCCGGAACACAAGCGGTGGCCGGCAGCAGTTGCATTGATCTTGCAGCAAGCCCAGGTGAACACATCATCCCAAGCAGCCACACTGGGCCTGGCTGTCCAGACAAACAAAGAACCCCCCAATTTCAAGACCCTTGTCAGCACCAACATCCGGATCATCTTGCTCAACCCCAAACTTGACGTATACGGACATCGAGGCACTCGCAGCAACCAAAAGGCCGAAACACCATATTCAATGATGAAGGTCAGTGTCACTAGTACAAGTAGTAAGACCAACCATCAGATTAAGTAACCAATCACTCGCCTCCGACCCTTCTTGACTCTCAAAGCCCTCAATTTCTCAAACAGCTACCCAACAATTACAGCAACAATACCACATTTATTAAATCATTCGATGATTTAATAAGCAAACAGCTCTAGGCCAACAAGCTCAAGCTGTTGACCATCATCCAATCCTGCTTGCCCAGTCCACCTGAGAAAGTCCCCCGTGTACATCGGCATGCTCCCCTGATACAAGGACACTCCTGTACCACAGGTCTATTCAGATGTTCCACCACCCGCTAGGGCCCGACTGTCTTACATCCAATTCATGATCAACCTCAACTGTATCCAACAAGAGGGTAGGACCAAGGGCAAGACGCCAACCTTCTGGCATCAAATCAAGGATGACCTCAATGCCCACATCAACAAAGGGCACCTTTGCCAATATGCCTTTGGGCAACTGATCCTACGAAAAGACAAGCGACTGTGGGATGGTGCCACCGCCTTGGACGAGGTCGACCCGGAAGACTGTGCTCTCCCCACTAAAACTGAAATCAAAGCCGAGATTGCCGGTCTCAGTGCAGACCAATCCTCCCAGGCCAAAGCGGCTGAATTTCAATACTCAGACCTCACCACTGCTGATACCAAATTGGTGTATGCAACTTTTCCTCACTCATTCTCCTACATAACCTAGCTGCCTTGTCTCCTTATGATATTGCTCTCTATATCAATGGGGCTACATAAAGTAAAGATTGACCTATGCCTATCCCCAAAGACACAAAAATACATTAAAAGACAAAAAAGACACAAACTCGATTTCCTTTTTATTCTGAAGAAACATGTGAATACAGTTGTTCCAAAATCAAATGAGAATGACTCTCACCAATTTTGGCACATCTCTGCTAAGTTAGTATAGAGTGTGTTTTGTGTAGATATCAATGGCCACTGAGAAACAAACCAGAAATGAAGTGAAAGATTCTCTAGTACAAAGACCGACCAAGCACCTCCCCCCCCCAAAAAAAAAAAAAAAAAATGGACCGGGAGTAGAATGGTTTCAAATGACCGATTGGTAACCCAAGCACAACCTTTTGAAAAGTTGGGCCACTGGCTATGAAACCTTTGTCCCACCAATTTTGGTTGTGATTTGGTTGGACATCGGTTATCGCAACCGCATTCAAAACCAAAATTATTTTCAGGTTAAAAAAACCACTACACAAACGTTTTGAGTAACGTTACAGTCATGCGTTGGTTCTACTTGGGTTAGATTAACCACATCAAAAACGTTTTCGAAAACGCTTTGGTTGGCTCAAGGTCTCGATGCCGTTTTTTTGAACGGAATCAGAAACGTTTCTTGAAACGTTTTCAAAAACTTTCTGCGCCGACTTCCAGGGCGACGTCCCCTGACATTCAATTGAAAATGTTTTGAAGCAGTTAATTTAAGCGCATCAAAACGTTTTTCTGCACTCGTGGGGTAGTCCCCCAAGTGAACACCAAGCTGAAGGGATATGTAAAATGATGTGATAACCCTCGCCAGTACTGCTGATCAGACGATCACAAACTGCCTCAATCACACTCGGCACTGGGAGCAAGTACAACAATTGGGCTGTGAGATGCAGCAATCATTACAGAGTATCCTTACAAGGATAGATGGGATTCCGGCTGTCAACTCAGTCATCCAATCTGATCATGAAAGATCTTCATCTCCAAAGAGCCCAAGCTGGGATGCGGCATGGCGAGCCATATGGGCTTTCATCTTCCAACCAAATGCCAAAAATTCAAATCAGTTCCTCCTCCAGGCCGGACGTACACGCAGAGGGGAGTCGTCATCTGTCACAAACCGCGTGGTTGTCCCAAAGTGGAAGAATTTCATTTAATAGCGGCACAAGGTTCTACTGTAGTTCATCGTTGAAAAGTGCAGCCTTGAAAGACGCTAAAGATGTTTCCCGAGACGGGGACTACATCGCTCCGATCTATGTTGACCATACCGCCACCGGTTTGGGGTTGGCCGTTCTGTGTTCAAAGGCATGTATGTCATTGGGAGGTGTCAGTGCTACCGTCGAGTAATAAAAAGTATAACGAGTATGCATTGCTGGCCACACGTACCACATCCAGTGTCCTATCTGTTTTACAGCACCGGATAACACTAAACCCGCCTATTGCAGCGGCGTCAGCGCAGCCTACGCGCGGTGCGACCACACCTTTGAGATTATGTAGTACATACAAAGAATCAGTTTAAGTGAACGGTGAAGGTAGCATGTATTGACACTACTCTAGTGATCTGAAGTACATACCGTGAACTTTGGGGACTTGTGGGTTACCGTAATCGGATCTCGATAAGCAAACGGCTGTTGGGTGATTCGCATCGCAGTTTATTGCAACAACGCTGATGGCCACTTGGGTAACTAACGAGGCTCCGGCCAGTAAAATCATAGCGGTTGAGCGGTAAACGGAGTTCATGATGACGGTTTTCGGGCAAGCTTAAAAGTCGACGGAAGTACTACTTGTATAACTTAGAAATTGGAAGAGGGAATAAAAGTGCGTTGGTCAAGTTGGAATGCTGGGATGATGAAGGATGGGGGTAGCAGAGCTTTTATGGGGATCAATGGGTTATCGAACGGTTCGGACTTAAAGGTGTCGAGGATGATGAGATCTTTCATTTCTTCTTCATTTGACAACATGAAGCTGAGCCACAAGCCCAAGTATGCATAATATTGGCGGATGGTAATACTATATCCACTTGAATTCTGGTATACACAAATATAGCCTCTGCCACTCATTGACAAAATGGAGACAGCTTACATCTGTATCAGCCCTAACGTAACTAAGTCCCTCTTTATTTGGAGGGGGGACGCCGTCCCGCAGTATCAGCCCAGGTCTCATGTATTGGCTATAGAGTGCAAAAGGCCCAGCCGGTCATACATACATACATCAAGTTTGCGAAAACCGGACATCGCCCTGGGCTTGGTTGGGTCCGCTCATGAGAAGATCACGTTATATGACGCCTTCAAGACCGGAGTAACAGAAGTGCCACCTGACGAGATGAGGACCGTCGTGGCCACTGTAGCGCCCCCATGGGAAGCTAACTGGAAGAGCTTATAGCCATTTATGTCCAACTTTGACTGCTGTACAGAGGGTAGCCTGACAACAATTGACTGCACAGCTGTACTACCCAAAGCATTTTTTGGTTGTCCCTCTTTATGTTGGTCCAGGTCCACTTATCCCCTTGAGTATTATCTGTCTTAGTTGTGCCAATCACAGAGGATGCCCTCCTCAGGGAAGACACTCTTCCGTGATCTTCATATGCATTTCAGGAAATTGTGTGATTGGCCTTTCAATGACGCAATGCCTAAAATCATGACCACTCTCAGAAACATCAATGAATGAAGGGGGGTGAAACTCTGGAGAAGAATATATTTGTTACCTCATGATTGTTTATGTTATTTTCTGTTCAATTTCAAGTTTGTCCATGTCACCTTGCACCTGTCAAGAGCAAGAATGTGGACAGACAATAGGATGGTATGGCCTGGGTCATGAATGTCCCCAGGGGCCAAAGAGGCCGTGAATTGGGGATCACATAGACTTGAAGTCTGATAAGTTTCCCATGGAAATTGCAAGTTAGCTTGAGGATGAAGTTCTGGCTACTTGTCATTTAAGTGTGAAGGACGTCCTCCACAAACTTCAAACAATGAATCATAACCAACACATATGAAACTTGCGGGTTCAAGAGGTAGGGAGGATGAAAACAGGCAAAGCAGTCCACCCGCACCATACATTCTTTCTCCAAGCAAGGGCCCCTTTGCTCTGGTTTTGTGTGTGAGTAGCACTCACAAGCATTTTGGTAGACTGAGGTGAGCAATTGATGATGATGTTACCAGGATCATCTTCAATTGTTTGAGGCTCATGAGCAGCAGGATTAGTTTAGACTGCAGCCCCTGAGCAATCTGAACTGTTTGTTCAGATGACTGAGTGTCTTGAGCCTTGCCCAATATCTTGGAATACAAGTGAGAATGGGGTATGCATTGACCCAGTAACACTACTATTGTCTCGCGACAGACGGCCTTGAGATCTCACATGACAAAAGCCCCTCTTGATCAATGGACAAGAAATGGTTTTGTTTTGACAGCAGTGATTGTCCTCACGCAAAAAAAAAACATTGAGCAATTAGATGCTACAAGATAGTCGGCCTGGGCAGGCTTGAACAACAGATTCCCGGGTGGATGGTCTCCCGCAAGACAAAAATTGAACGGGTCGGAAAAAACTGATGGATCAACCAAAAATCGGTTTGAGGATCAAGTTTGAATGCCGGTGATTACTTATATGACTTAGAACTCGAGCGACTCACGAAGGGCTGAAGTTGGCTTATCGTACAACTATTTCCATCAAGACGGACTCGGAGATGAGTGAGTCCACCTCCCTAAGGACGTCCTTCATCCATTGGCGATTAGGGTCCTTCATCAATGGGCGATTAGGCGATAAACGAAGAGGGTGACGTCTTTTGCTGGCGTAATATTGCCGGGGACCACGCGGACTGGACCTGGAAACAATCTCGCGTATTTTCCGACGAAATCTCACCAGCTCCGGATGCTCGACAACGGTTGTGAGGGCCAAATTGACACTACGGCGCCGTTTTCTTGGTTGATTGCGGCCTGCAAATGGGTGGTCTGCTGGGGGGCTACTATGGTCTGTTTCACCTGGAAAATGGAACAATCCACATGGGTGGGTCAGTTACATCTTGCCCGATCAGAATGAACACCTGCTATGCATACCTGACATTGGCAATGGATCTCTTAGCTTAGCTATCAAGAAAGGTTTGTCAAGTGTGGACTTTGAATCAATTTGGAGTATAATTGGACTTGAGGTGAGATGAGGTTTTTGGACGATACGTGATTTGTGTGTTGTTGCATGGGCTTGTGAATTCTCAGCATATGATGGCTTCTGTGCTCTATGCTGGTTTGACATTGTGTGCCACCGTCCCCAAGAGGTGGCTGACCTCAGGCGCCGTTTGGACCTTGGATGACCCTGCAGCTGCCCATGTGCCTTGAGAATCCACATAATCAATTATGGGCAGGATGCATATGAGTGACCTGATGCACTATCTAGCACTGAGTAGGATTCAATCGCCAGCTGGTCTCTTGCGATTGAATCTCATACTTCCCCTCCACCACCGGCTGCTGAAATGGCTTGCGCCCGTGGTTATCGTTCACTTGACCTCTCCGTCCTTCTTTTTGTTTCACTTGAAGATCACAATCTCTCTTAGTATCGATGATGACTTGTCGGACACAAAGTGAATCCGGTTCTTGTAATAATTTCACTCTCCATTTCTCATAACTGTCTTGCTGGGGCTCAACTGGCAGGTTGAAGCCTTCGCTGAAACCGGGCCAGGCCCGTCGTGGGTGAGGTCGATGTGGCCCTGAGGCTTGGGGGTCAAGAGAAACCCCGCGAGCCGACAGGAAGAACGCAGAATAAGTACCGACCGCAGTACTTCCGGTACAGCTACGGAAAGGGAGCTGTACCCTGTATTTCGTTTTCGTTTTTCGTGGCACAACTGGTGTAGGTCCAGGTCCACCGTACTAACTCGAAAGGGGGCAGTCTCTGATCCGGCAAAGACTGACAAGATCCTTGTGTACGGAAGCCCAGGGAGGACAGGTACGGTGGACCTGGACCGACACCGGTTGTGCCACGAAAACCAAAAACAAAAATAAGCTTATCCGACCGTTTCGGGAATTGTAGCTGTACCGGAAGTACTGCAGTCGGTACTTGTTCTCTGTTCTTCCTGTCAGCTAAACGGGCTCTCCGCCGACCCACCGAGCCTCATAAAGGTGGTCACGTCGGAATGGTCTTTTGGTCTCGACCCACGAGAGGAATCTAAATTTGGGTTATTCTCGGCACAAATAAAACACGCGCATAACACGGATGTTGGACTTGATTTAGATGCAGAAACGATGATCAGGGTTGGCGAGCCGGTTTATCGGACGGCGATCGAGAGCCTATTGTGCCAAAAGCATTTTGCCGTGACGCACGACCTGAGCTGGGCTAGGATGAGGATGAAGAGAGCTGAGGAGTTGATTGAAAGGAAGCCCCAGGACTACATACTGATCTATACTTTCCTTTGTCAATTGCACGTCCCTTACAATAACACTGTGTCCTCTATTTCCCACCCCTTCTTGTCAAGCACACTTTCCTCTCTCTCTTAATCTCACTCTTTTAATCTCACTCTCTTTTTGGTGGCTGTCCAGTTATCTACCGACAACTACATACTACGGCCACTACCATCACCACAAACAAACAAACCCAAAAACTTACAACTCATTTATTCTAGTCATCATCATCTTGAAAACCTTTTTCCTTTCTTTGATACAACTCTCTCTCTGTTTAAAATCTCAATCAATTTTTTAGTTTGATTTAACTTATCAATTTGACTGGTACAATCTTCTTTGGGAGGCATTCATAACAACCAGAATGATCAAAGCCACCAAAGAAAACACAAAAAAACAAGGCCAAACCCAGAGGAGAATCAGAGGAAGAAGAAAACAAACTGAAGATGCAGATGGATGTGGAGGTCATTAATCTTTATTTAGTTTTATCCTGACTTTTTTATTGACTGATTTTTACATTGTTGGTTACTCTTTTTGGGTCTTTGTCCTCCTCTCTTTCATTCTTTTACATTTCATATTTGCAACTTGAACATTTTTTACTATTTTTGTCTCATCATTTCTTGTGTTGCTGCATTTTCCACCCAACCTATAGACCTTGTCATAAAATTTGTCCCCTCCTGCTACCAGAAGACCTTATTTGCTTCCTAAATTATTCACATTTGTGTAACAAAAACTGCAGGCCACTAAAGCTATGTCTGACCTCTGTGTTTCTTTTTTTGGGCATATGTATTCTTATATTGGTCCTCAGAGACCTTATCCGTTTTCTGATTTTTTTCCGTTTCCGTCACAAACCCCTAGCGTATTAATCCTATCTTCAACCGCTGTGCTTTTTCTGGTCTTAGATACATAAACCTTTTCCCATATGTATTATTAACCGGTCCTACAAGACCTTATCTATTTCCTAATTTTTTTTCCATTACCTTCACCAAACCCCCAGCCTTTTAAAGCTATCTCTGCCCGCTGTCCCTATTTCTGAGCTTAGCTTACTATCACCGCTTTCTCCTGAAAACTTCATTGGGTCCAGTCCCCAATACCTCACCCTCTGTAAGCTGTTTTGCTATTTTGCAAAATAAAGACAATGTGATGGGTTGCTGTCTAGGCATAGTTGAACAGAAAAGGAAGAGGTAGAAAAAAACTGCAACATTGCAGATGTGCGTCAAAAGGTACTAACTTGTCAAATCAAAACAAGTAGGACAGGACGAAAGCATGAATGAAAATAGCAAAACACCTTACAGAGCATGCAGATTGGGGACAAAAGCCTACTCCGCAACTCTCTACATTGTCTTCATTTCGCGTATCATT